ATAAATTAGAGCGAGATTTTTGTTTTGGCATCAGTCTTTTGAAGTGGGACAACTGGATTTTTTCAATTACGTTTCTATTCAGAATCGTTCACATATATCTGGAGTTTTCGGGGTTTATCCGAACTCTGTATTCAAGTTGTTGCATAGATGTTGGTTGATTCAGACTTGGTTTTCTGTTCGTATTTCATAGCAATAATGTTCCCATTTCGTGCCGTTCGTCATTTCTGTTTGTTGCTATCCGAATTTGGAGTTACTTAGGGTTGATTTAGGGCTTTTAAAGAGATTTCATGAAACTGTTCTTTCTTCTCAATATATTATGCACATCTTTCTGGAAGTAACCCACAACGGGTCCCAGACTTTTTTTTCACGATTCGGTATTTTACGATGCGAAAGTTTAGTACTAGAAAGCAGAAATTATTGACAGCATCTTTGAAGTTGTTCTCATAAGTTCTTGGGAATGTTATAGTTTCCAATCAAGACGATTTCCCGAAATTCGACTTCAATGCCTTTCAGTGAAAGTGCGTCGTCGCAGTCGATGAACTGCGCCCTTCAAGGGCTGCCTGGCAGCTGTCGCGGAGGGTCCTACGTGGAGAGAAGTGCGCTGGCCGGTTTCGAAAACAAAATATTTATTGCAAATATTGTTTTTTGAGGGTCTACGTTTCAAAATTTCGCTGAGAGTTTGATAGAGTTAGACTAGAAGTAGGAACTAACATGTTGTTCACTTTGATTATTGCCAGCCTTGTTTAATTTTCTATAGCTTGTCACAAGTGAATTCCACCAATTTGGTTTCTAGTGATAACATCGTCTTTACTGTTGTTTTTATATCTTTTTCAATCAAAATATCTATTTTTCAGTCATCTTAAATCCTTCAGCTTCGGCCTGTTAGTGTTATGACCGTTGCATGTGGAGATTCGGGAAAAAGGCGAGCCCGGAAAGCTAAGGTACGGTTTTTTTGTATATTTCGAGTTTGTGAGGGTTTAAAAGGGTAGGTCCCTGCTAGTAATGTTTGCCTTGAAAAGGCTTGAATTTCTCCCGCACAGCGATGATGTGGCCAAAACGGTTGCTGAGCAAAAGTGTGGATTCTGAATGACCAAAATGGTCTTTACAGTTGCAAAATTAGAGAAGATCCCCTGATATGTCTGAGCGAAGTCGAAGAAAACAACGTGTTCAAGACGATGATGAATTGAGTCTGGAATCAGTCGAACTCGACCGAGCTGTATGTAATTTCTCGAATTTTGAATTTATCCAAAAATCAGTAAGCACTTACACCTGAAAAATTTCGTCACCTCTATTTTTTAGAGTTTCGTTGAAGCGGCACTGCACAATTATTTTTGGCCTTTTTTAGACAGCTCGCTTGTAACATGGTTACAAAATATTGCGCAACATTGCAAGCAATGTAGTCTGAGTCACCTGACTACCTTTCTTTTCCTGCCTTTCAAGTTGATTTTCTATTTTAGATTGAATCAGAACTGCTCACTTGTTGCTACTGCCAAGCGCCGTTGAAAGCTATCCCCTTAGATATCGATGACACCAGTGGTGAACAACGTTTTTTCTGGGCGTGTAGAAATTTGAAAACTAAGGTGAGCAATTTTTACCTCTACTTTCTAGTGTTCGAATTTTGGTCATGATTTTCAATGCTTATTTATTTAGACGTGTTACTTCCCAATGGGTTTGCCGAACAACATATTTTGGTTGAAGCGCACAGAAGAACAGCGCAAAAGGAATTACTTTCCACGACCGGATATAAAGTTTCTTCCTCGAGAGTTCAGGTATGCTAGGTCACTTCGTATCAGACTTGCTTTTGGAGTCTTGATTTTTATCGTTTGGGTGTCCTCAGATAATTATTGCA